GGGGGGGGGGGGGGGGGGGTGAAGTGTTGAGAGGGAGGAGGACGATGGGAATCTCACGCGTCTCTCGATTCCTCGGGGCATCGATCTTACCCCGATCTTCCTTCAAACATTCTGGGGTCTTTTGGAGGCGATCCATCAAGTTAAAGGGTGCGCGTCGTCTGTCTAACGTAGAGTCGACGAGTTATACGAGTCAATTTCTGGAGTGAAGGGGGTGGAGATGCCATCCCCCGTGGCTGTCGGGAATGATCGAGCGATTTAAACAAATGTTTTTGTTTTTTTTTGGGCTCGTTAACAGATGAGGGTATTTAATGGATATTAATACGAGGGAGGGGACGCGTCATTTGATATTATCGCCGCTGAATTAGAAGGGTGTATGTGCCAAAATTTTCCGTGATTTTCTAGATACTTCCGTAGCAGTTACTGATGGCCAGTTTACAATGAATATCTCGAAATCTAAGGGAGGGAGCAAAATTTTTGCTGCAATCTTTTTTGTAGCTTTCAGTTCGTTCTACAGAAATGATTATTACACGGAAAACAAATATATTTGATTCAAGTGTATTTTATACTCGAATGAGGGATGGGTTTTTCAATTCGAGGATGATTATTTCGTATCAGCTCGGGCTGTACCAAGCGCTCTCAAGTGTAATATAAGGGGGAGACACTAAGTGTGAGAATATAAGGGTCAAAAAGTGGAGGTTAAAAAATGAGGGTCGGAATATTAGAGTCAAACACTGTGGGCCTGAATGTAAAGGTGAAGGAATGAGGGTCAGAATATTAGGATAAAAAAATTAGGGTCAGAATATAAAAGTCAAAAAAGTGGGAGTCAGGCAATGAGGGTTATATAAGGGCTCAAAAAGGTGATCAAGCATAATATATGACTTATATTTAGGCCCTCATTGCCTGACAACCACTTTTTTTACTTTTATATTGTGACCCTAATGTTTCGACCCTAATATTCTGACCCTCATTTTTTAACTTCCAATTTGTGACCTTTATATTCTGACACTTAGTGCTTGACCCTTATATTACACTTAAGAGGGCTTGCTACAACCCGGCCGGATACAAAAAACTCATCTTCGAATTGAAATACCCATCCCCCAATTGAGTATAAAATATACTTGAATCAAGTATATCATTCTTGCTTCGAGTCTAAAATATGCTTGATTCAAGTATATTTTATATTCAATGCAGTTATGTTTTTGTTTCCGTGTACGAAAATGTCGTTATCTCTCTTAGATTCGGAGATATTATCCCCGAAAACTCAGCTAAGGGCTGAGTCGACTTGAACCGTTTTACCGCTTCGCTACTGAATTTTTATCCAACTTATCCCTCCACGTTTACCTGAAACTAACCCATAATTTTTATCAAACTTATTTCTTCATGTAATTTACACTGTTAGAAATTTTTTGAAATTTCATGCAAGATATTATAGTTAATCTCATGAGTGACATTGAATCGGATTTAGGGAAAAAATGATTATGAAATTTCAAGTTTTAAGTAGAATTCACGGAAATTCGTGATTTTTCAGTGGAAGTAAGATGGGAATTTCATAACTTGATTGAATTTTCAGTGGAACATGAATATTCAGAAATAAAATGACATGAATTTTCAGTTTTTCCCTGAATTTTCACAGAATAATTGAACCGAAAAATCAAGTATTTTATTGATTTCTAGATCATTTTAACAGAACATCAATAGAGTATTGGATTTGACAATGACACGATTTCTTGGAATTTCAGTGGAACTTGAACGCGATAAAATTGTTCGGAATTTAGCGCGGAAAATTCAGACCAAAATTTTTAACAGTGTAATTAGTTTTTACTTCAAAGATCACATTTTTTGGTATAAAAAAGTTCCTTTTGACAATCAATTCCTCAATGGAATTTTCCTTCCCGATTCGGGGGATGATTTTCAACAACAGTTTGCTCGTTAGTTTGGAAGAGTGTAGGGAGGGCGAAAAATATTATAGAAATACCTCTCATCGGGCCGACGAACGACGAGCCCTTTGATCGGCTTTTAATCAGCGCAAAACGTGAGTGGTTTCAACGGCGGAGGGACAGTGGAGAGGAAAAAAACAGGCTCTGTACCGCGCTGGGACCCCAAACAGTTGATTGGCGCGATTCTGTGCTTTGTTTAACGCGCCGCGATGCCAAACGGTACAGCTCGAGGCTACCACCGACTGACGATGAAAAAAAAAAGGGAAAATTAAATGGAAAAAATAGAGGTGAATGGAGGGGAAAAAAGAGAAACCCCTCGACGGACACGCGTGGAATTCGGTTGTAGGGATGGATGATTTCCAATTGTGCCCAAGTGGATCTTTAAAGCGTTTTTTCAAGCGCACATACCCATTGTGGATATAATTCCCTCTGTTCTGTGATTTTTTTGAAGAATGCCTATCTACGCAAACATATGGAATGAGTAAATGGCATTTTTTTTAATTCCAGGATCGATTGTTGTTAGTGACAAGATTTAATACAATTATTTTTCACATGAGCCATTGATACATTTGACTAAAGACAAAACAGTGGAAATTTTTCATACACAATTCCAGGAGTGGATGGTTCTCAATTGCATTCAAACGAATTTCCTAACGTTTTATCAGACTTTTTTTTCAGGAAAAAATTACGGAAATCCATTAAATTTTTGTCTCATTTTTTTCTTCATTTCCCCAACACTTGAAAAAAAATCAAAGAAAAATAATCAGAAAGTGGCAATAAAAAAATATATCCGTCGTTCTGGAACTTTTTCACTAACAGCATACAATTTTTACTGTTCGTTTATGAAAAATTGTAGCAAAAAATGGAAAATTTATCCTTTGCCTCCCATTTTTTCTCTTGATTTCGAAACATATTTTGAAACATATGGAATGAGTAAGTGGCATTTTTCAAAAAATTCCAGGATCGATTGTTGTTAGTAAATTATATATTTTTTAAATTTCTGAAATCCATTTCGCTCTCCGATTACCCAGATTATTTGATCAGGTGTGTCCGAACATTTTTCTCCCTGTATTTATTTCTCCAAGCATTTGCAAATATTCATCATCAATTTGAAATTCCCCCCACGACATTCTAAAAATACATTTACAACCAGCTCGAAAAAACAAACTCACCACTTTATCACCCAGGTTTCTGACACGACACGGTAGATAAACAGTTTGTCCAACGAATGCTGTGACGTTCGTCGCTGTTTGCTCGAACACAGGAAGATCCGCGACATCTTGAGCCACCTCGACATCCTGCACTCGCTCCCGCCACACCAGGGGATCCTCCAGAGGCGCTGGAAACAATTAATAAAACCTCCATCAATTCACTGAAAACAATTCCCGAAATCTCAAGTTGGCTGCTCAGTGCCTGCCACGGGGGACATTAAGAGAGAAAATACATCCATCATCCATCATCATCATCGTCCAACGTCAGTAGTCCATTTTCCCCCGCCGGGGATTCTCAATAATAAAGATGAGGAAACGCTCCTACCGAATATATCGCTGTGTACTCAGAAACAGTTTTAGTCATCAACCGTCGAGGGAGCGAAAACAGAAAAACTACGCAGCAAAAGAAAAATGAAAGAATGACAATGCGAGAGGGATGAGTGGGCGGAAAATGGAGTCGATGACACAGTGAACCAGAATCTGGCGAATACACACTCACCCTCGACCTCCCCCACCCCCACCCCCTGACAAACCGACGGCCAGGGAAAATGGAAGAGGGGAGAAATCAGTGTGAATGCTACGTCATGACCTTTCTCGGTTGGGCAGATAACACCACCACCCTATATCCGCGCAAACACACGTCCACTTCTCTCTCGGCTAAACCATCAAGTGCACACTGGTCTGACCATTCACTGACGATTCTCACCCAGCGTTCGTAACGCTGCCCGGAGCAACACCTGACGAAGCCGGCGAATTAATAGCTGGGTATTTTCTGCATCCGTGAATAGCAATTGTAACATTCACTTTTTGACGGAATGAGCAATCCCTACCGTTTCCACGCTGTCAGAGGTTGAGGCAATTTTTTCTGAGGGAAATCCTCTTCAGAGTTTAGAGACTAGACCAAGAATATTTTTAGGCGCAATATCAACTTCAGTTTCCGAATATTTTATCGAGAAAACGATTTTTGAAAAAATGAAATTTAAAACGTTGCTCCATAAGAGATGTCTATTCTCATCTTCAATCCAATAAATGATAGTCTTAAACCGTTTTCTCGAACACATAACCGTATATGACTTTGTTGGTTACACTCTCTATTTTTTTGCGACATTAAAAAACATAAGTTTCCGAACAGATAATTGCAAACAATCAAATTAAAAGCTTCTTGATTGGTACATCGGCCATGCTGAGTGGTTTGAATCGGCATGTGCATGTACCGCCCACCTAAGGGAAATGAGTCTTTTTTTCCAGCCCCGCACTTTACAAGGTGTCATAAACGGTTAGAATGGATTCTTCGAGGTGTTTACTCGAGGATGTGAAGAGGACAGATTTTGTATTAACATTAAACATATTTAATTATACAATTCAATTGCCATCGGCCAGTGAGCGATGCACTGATAGAATGATTCATTTATTCCAAACGAGATTCGTTAACTATTAACGAATGAACATTTGGTGAGACCGAATAGACCCTAACCTCCAACCAAAATCCATTCGTTAACGACACCTAATCCGTTCTATCAGTGTGGAATCGATGTTTGAGGGTAATACCGCCCGGCATGCGCTCAATACCGCCCACCTTGTTTTGATGACTTTTTTGAGCAACGCAGACCAACTGTTATAATTTTTCCTATTTTCATCCTTCGTTTCCATTATTTGGCTCCATTTTGAGAAAGATCTCACGTGAATAATAATAAATTATCCTGAATTTACCGGATGTTCTAGTGGCCACCGACTACCCCAAACAATCGAGCTGTCACTCGACCGCCCTCTGGCCGCAGAGTCTAGCAGCCCTGTAGAAACCCTGGGCGGCATTAGCCACAAACTCTGGGCGGAATTACCCACAAACACGGAGGCCGATAAAATAGCCAATAATAACTGATGAAGATATTTTTCTGCTATCCAAAAGGTCGTAATTTATGTGGAAATGTATAACGAACATATATTTCGTACTCCATTCAATTATGGATCAACTGAAAATTTGAAAAATCTTAAATTCTGGGGTTGAAATATTTTAAGAAGTCAGTAGGAAATGATTTTGATTTTTTAACGATGTCTCCAGGGGAGAAAACTGAAAATTCCTATTGGAATTACTTGTTTTTATCAAATATTTATATAATAAAGAAAGGAAAAAACTTTTTCCTCAACCAATCCCGAGACATACGCGTGGGCGGTATTACTCGCTGGGCGGTACAACACCAGCTACCCTACTCGTACCGAATTTACGAGGTTATATGGAACACTTGTGCAATGTTGTCGTATGATCATTAGAGGTCACACTGTTAGAAAAAAAAGGAAATTTCATCGGCAGTTGACTAATAATTTTAAGGACAGTGACACTGAATGCGATTTAGGGAGAAAAAATCATGAAATTTCAGTTTTCACTGAACATTCAGTAAAATTCGAGAATTTTAAACAGCATAAAGACGAGAATTCCTTAATTTATTTGAATTTCCAATCTAATATGAACATTCATAACCAAATTACATTCAATTTTCTGTGAAATCTGAAATTTCATTATTTTTTCCCCCTAAATCGCATTCTGTCCTGAAATCTCAAGAATATATTTATCGAAATTTTCTGCTTTTCTATTCATTTTCAGGGAAAAATGGAACTGAAATTTACAGTTCTCTTTCATTTTTCGACGAAATTCTGAATTTTCAATGACGGGATTTCTTGAAATTTCCAAAAAATGTATTCAACAATGAAAGATCCACGATAAAAAGAATACCAAGTGGCAGAGAAATTCGAAATTCCCCGCAGACATTGCCCACCCCTTTTTTCACACTGATGTGTGTATTTGATGTTACATGTATCAAAGTATTACACTGCGAGAAATAAATTCCACTTCGGTTAGCGAGTAACGAGGCGTAACCGCGAGTAGTTTCATTTGAGCTCGACTGGGACCACTTCTTCCCTCGTAAATTCCCCCGTCCCCCCTTTTTTTTACTCTCCACCTCTGCGCCCCATCCATACAACTCCACCAGAGATCCGAGAAAGAGTTTGTCGGGCTCCACACTGCATGATGTGAATCCCCTACGTTATAGACACTCCCACCCCGAGAATTGTCTTTCCAATGGAAATAATCTCTTACGGCCGAAAATTCTCTACGGAATTGTGGAAAATCATAAAACAAACAGTGATTCGTTAATTCCACAAACGCAATGTTAACGTGCGGAATATGATCGTTTTCCAGCGGGTGAAACCCGTCTACGTTATCGAAAAACATTCATGCAGTATTGCATTCGCATATCAATTTACATCCAAAAAATGGTATATGTTCGAACCTTTGAAATGCATTGGAAACCGAATTGCTGAATCCACAACTCTATAAATGAAAAAAAAAATGCTACATTACGATCGAATTTACATTTTTGTACGAAACTTCTCTGTTTACCGTCCCTTGCATAAAAAATTAAACGACTTTTCAACCATTGCATCAGAATTACAAACTTTGCAACCAAAAATCAAAATACTGGTCCCCTCGATTAAATCCCTGCCAGCAACCTCTGTTTATCAACTCAACATCAATATCCCAATTCATTTTTCATAACCTACCATCCACAAAAATAAAACCACACAGGTAATCGCCTGAATTATCTAAAATAAACACGGAGGGAAAATTCAGAAAAAGCTACGCAACAAAATGTGAACGCTAGGCGAAATAGTTTTCGGGAATTTTACGTGAAAACTTTGAAAAAATAAGGAGATCTGAGAGATAATTCATCATGGACAGGACTGTATGATGTGAACTCCCCAAGAATTGTCTTCCCAAAGGAAACGATCTCTTACAGCCAGAAACTTGAAAATAATAATGTGGAAAATGATAAAACAAACAGAAATTCGTTAATTCTACAACGCAACGTTAACATGCGGAATTTGATTGTTCTCCAGCGGACGAAACCCGTCCATCTCTATGTTATCGAAAAACATTCATGCAGTATTGCATTCGCATATCAATTTATATCCAAAAAATGAACTTCATTGAAACGTTTGAAATGCTCGCATTGGAAACCGAATTGGTGAATCCACAACATTACGATCGAATTTTCATTTCTGTACGAAACTCTTCCGTTTAGCTTCGTTTGCATAAAAAAATTAAACAACATTTGAAACATTGCATCACAATTTCAAACTCTGCCGGCAACCTCTGTTTATCAACTCAACATCAATATCCCAATTCCTTTCCCACACCCCACCATCGACAAAAACAAAATCACACAGGAAATAACTCAATAGAAACGCGAAGGGGAAAATTCTAAAAAGCTACGCAACAACATGTGAAAGCTAAGAGAAATACTCTTTCGGGAATTTGACATGAAGACTCGGCGAAAAATGAGGACATCCGAGAGGGAATTTGTGAAAATCAACAAAATACTCTATTTTTCAGTTTAATTCTTTCGTAAAAACTCCGAAAATTCAGGGAAAAATTGAAAATTCATGTCATTATGTTTCTGAATCTTCATGTACCGTTGAAAATTCAATCAAGTTTTGAAATTTCCGTCTCTCTCCCACTGAAAACTCATGAATTTTCTTGAATTCTACTTGAAACTTGAAATTTCATAATCAATTTTCCGCTAAATCGGATTTAATGTCACTCTCATGAGAATTAAAACCATGTTTTTCATGAAATTTCGAAGAATTTCTTACAGTGCACACTGTTAAAAAATTTTGTCTGAAATTTCCGGAACACTTTTCGGAAATTTTTATCCAATTTAATTAGCACTGAAATTTCAAGGAATTTCGTCATTGAAAATTCAGAGTTTCGTGGAAAAATCCAACAGAACTGTGAATTTCTGCTCCATTTTTCCTTGAAAATAAATAGAAAACCAGACAGTTCCATTAAATATATTCTTGAATTTTCAGGACAGTGACACTGAATGTGATTTAGGGGGAAAAAATGATGAAATTTCAGATTTCGCTAAAAATCCAATGTAATTTAACACTGAATATTCATATTAAATTATAAATTCAAATAAATTAAGGAATTTTGGTCTTTACGCAGCTTCAAATTCTGGACTTTCACTGAATTTTTAGTGAAACCTGAAATTTCATGATTTTTTCTCCCTAAATCGCATTCAGTGTCACTGTCCTGAAAATTGGTAGTCAACTGTCCATGAAATTTCATTTT